CAGACACCATCTCTATCACTTGCAGACCCCCTAGGGCACAAAGGTTGAATTGCTTGTCAACCTCCTGGAGTCCTGTATTCCAGTTCCTGGAGTAATAGCTTTCCACATGCATTCATCACTTAAGCCTATCAACTAAGACTAAGATCTTTAACTCTTGAGTTCCCCTATCACTAACAGATGCACACAATAAATTGAGGTAAAGCACAGATGCTCACAAGCACTGTTCAAAGATACAGTAGTTTGATTCTGAGGCGCTGAGCATTGTTTCCAGGGAAGGAGCTTGGCAGGGTCACTCTCGATGCTGGAAGTGCACACTGCCTCTGTGTTGGCTCACTGCAAAAACAAAAACAAAAACAAAAACAAAAACAAAAACAAAAACCTGATCTCGCGTCCCCAACCCCCATTTTGCCTTCTTTCTTCGGATTTCTTTTGGTTATCAAAAACAGACACTAATATAGGTCTTTCATAAAAGCAAAGCAGCAGAAGGTGCTCTGGCTGGTGTGGTTCCATGGATTGAGTGCCAGCCTGCAAACTGAAAGTTCCCGGGTTTGATTTCCAATCAGGGCCCATGTCTGGGTTGTGAGCTAGATCCCCAGTTGGGGGCCTGTGAGAGACAACCAATCGTACACTGATATGTCTCTTCTTCTCTTTCTCCCTCCCTTCCCCTCTCTCTAAAAGTAAATAAATAAAATCTTTAAAAAATTATTTTAAAAAGCAAAGAGGCAGAAGGCAATCATTCCAAAATCAGGGAATATCTGCACTGGCCTGTAGATGTCTTGCACGTTACTTGCCTGCCTGACCCTGAACCACCCGACCTTGTCAGTTTACTGTGTATTTTTACGAGATTGTACCTGCCTCATCTCATTTAAGTCCACAGAAATTCTTTTAGGCAGGTATTTTTATTCCCATTTTACAGCTGATAACAACCCAGTCTTAGAGTTGGGACTTCTGGTTCCTTGACTCCAGGTTTTGTGCTCTTTCCCCAGACCTCAGTGTTTTCTTCACATTGTTATTCCTCTCCAACTTCCAGTTTCCTTTACGTAAAATTTTAGTATACATAACTTTATGAAGAACGTTTCTGTGTACCTTTTGGAAGCACTGCAGAAATTTTAGTTCCAATGTAAGGGAAGTCTTACGTAACATTCTATGGAAAGTTAGGAATTGAATAATATCCATTTCAGCTCTCTTCCCGAAAGTGACCAGAGGTGACCCCTGAAGATGGTTCGCTATTCACTTGACCCAAAAAGCCCCACAAAATCATGCAAATCAAGAGGTTCAAATCTTTGTGTTTGCTTTAAGAACACTGGTGAAACTGCCCATGCCACCAATGGTATGCATATTTGAAAAGCCACCAAGTATCTGAAAGATGTCTCTTTAAAGAAGTAATGTGTCCCATTCTGTCCACACAATGGTGGAGTTGGTAGGTGTGCCCAGGCTAAACAGTGGGGCTGGACAAAGGGTGGGTGGCCCAAAAAGAGTGCTGAGTTTTTGCTGCACATGCTTAAAAGTGCAGAGAGTAATGCTGAAATTAAGGGTTTAGTTGTAGATTCTCTGGTCATTGAGCACAAAGCTCCCTATATGCAGTGTAGAATTTACAGGGCTCATGGGCAGATTAATCCCCATGTGAGCTCTCCCTGCCACACTGAGATGATCCTTCCTGAAAAAAAGCAGATCGTTTCTAAACCAGAAGAGGAAGTTGCACAGAAGAAAAAGATATCCTAGAAGAAACTGAAGAAACAAAAGCTTATGGCCCAGGAGTCAATTCAGCATAAAATAAATACTAATACAAGTAAAATAATAATATCCATTTCAGTTGTAGTTTTTTTTAAAGGTTTTACTTATTTATTTTTAGAGAGAGGAAGGGAGGGAGGAAGAGAGGGAGACATCAATGTGTGTTTGCCTCTCATGCACCCCCTACTGGGGACCTGGCCTGCAACCCAGGCATGTGCCCTGACTGGGAATAGAACCAGCAACCTTTTGGTTCACAGGCTGGCACTCAATCCACTGAGCCACACCAGCCAGAGCTCAGTTATAGTTTACATAGAGGTTACCAAAAACTTACTTCTTTGCAAGCATAATGATGACTACAGTATTGGGAGTCATTCAGAAGCAAGAGCTAGGGTTATGTAATAGCGCAACAATGACAAGAAAAATCAGATTAAAAAAAGTAAAATCTTTGAACTCTTAAAAAAAAATTCAACCTAGTAAATTTGAAGATCTAGTTGGCTTTTTAAGCGACTCATGAATTGAGCAGCTTCCCATCTAGCAATTAGAAGGGTGCTCTGAGGGGTGTACAAAATGGAAGGTTTTTATAGGAAGAAGCTGGGGCAAGGGAGCTTTTAAAAGAAAGGATTGCCCTGGCAGGTGTGGCTCAGTGGGTTGGGCATCACACCGCAAACCGAAGGGTCGACCAATTCCCAGTCAGGCCAGTGTTGCAGGTTCGTCCCCAGTTGGAAGGCAACCAATAGATGTATCTCTCTCCTGTTCTCTGACTCCACCCCCACTTCTTCCTCTTTTTAAAATTGAAAATAAAATTTTAAAAAGTTTTTAAAAAGATTATTTTGGAGTGAGAGTGTTTTTGGCAGGGGGGAGGGAAAGAGAATGGGATGTTTTTATCTCATGGCGATTGCCTCTTCTTTCTGTGTGGTTGGTGGGTAATGAAGAGGGCCCAGGTGACAAATTACTTTACTGGTGGAAAATTTCAGACTGGTTGATTAAGATTACATTTCTGGGAGAGGATGAAACTGTAATGAGATCAGGTATTAAATCTAGGTTTGATATCATGGGTTTTTAGCATGAATGATGAGATTTTGGGCCTGTGGTTTTCTATTTAATGGAACATTTCTATGGAATACCAGACAAAGCAAAATTACCTCTCCATATATATAGATTCAGCAAAAAGCAAGACAAATTTACTTTCATCTACTTGAAATTGCAGAGGAGGGAGATCCTTCTAGGGAGAAAGGGATAATAAAGGGAATTTAATTGCTTAGTGTCCGCTCCTACTAATAAAAGCAGGAAAATAAAAATATTGACATATTCTTTAAGGTAGTGTCCTTCCTGCTTGTTTTATCTTAGTAAACATAAATTTTTTTACTTTGGGTTTTCATTGATTCTGTCCTGACCTCCATCTCCTAAAGCCCCCCTTTTCCCACATGGTTGTAAAATTTTCACAAGGATACCACCATTTTTTAAAAAAGGTAATAATTTTACTTACTTATTTTTAGAGACAGGGAAAGGGAAGGGGAAAGAGAGGAGGGGAAACATGTGCTAGATCAGTTGCCTCGCACACACCCCAAACCCAGGCCTGGCCTGCAACCCAGGCATGGGCTCTGGCTGGGAATCAAACCTACAGCTCTCCAGACTTTTAGTTTCCAGACCTGCGCTCAATCCACTGAGCCACACCAGTTAGAGGTGATTTTGCTTTTTAATACCTCATCAGTCTAGGAAAGAAAGGGGACTCAACAGACCTATTGTCTTAATTTCAAGGCCGCCCCTCCACAGCTATATACATATTCATCCTATTCCTTGCTTTTAACTTTTTCCTGTGTAGATCCACTAAGGTGCAGAGGTGCTCCTGCTTATAAGTTTTTAAAATAGTTCTCCTTTGGGAGAAATTTTATGGGACGGGGTCAAGGGAAAGTGGGTGGGTAGACCCCAAGTATTTCCTCTATTTCTACTTTGCATTAAGGGAAGAGCAAGAGCTTAAATTGATTTGCATTTTAAAGGACTATTCTACACCCCTCAGGGCTCTAATCTTGAAAAGGCTTTATCTGTAATCCTTTTATAGCCCCGGTCCGGTTCTCTCCCACCCCCACTCCGGCTTTGTAGCTATTTGTAAATTTGTCTAATCTCCCTCGCGGGACCGTACGTTACAGATCAGAGGCAGGGAGAAGATGTGAATGTTTGGAAAGGGCCTAAAAAGTGAAAAAAACTCAATTTCATTTACTAAGCATTGCACGATTCTGTAACAATAATGGCCATGAACATGAAAGTTCATGTAAATTCTCATTCTAATGAATCACTTTTTCTATTTTCCCTTCCATCCCTTCATGCATTAAACATTAGGCGAACCAGTCTTGGTTCCTGTGCAGCTTTTCCACATCCTAAGTACAAATTTGCATCTTGCTTTTAATAATTTTTCCTCTTTGTTTATCCTAAATATTTCTACGACTGCAAAAGATATATGTACAATAATTTCATCAAGGACATAGGATTTGTAAGGATCCAGTCCTTAGGAGTAAATGTAACACCTTTGACCTTGCTCTGCAAGGCCTGATGATCCGTCAAGGTTAGACTGAAGCCTGGGGGTGGCAAAATTGTGGGCCGCACCCCAGCAGGAGCGCGCGAAGCGAAAGACTGCCAATCACGCGCTCCCCCAACCCCCGGCAACCTGAAGGCTTGCCTTTTTCGTCACCTTGCCCCGCCCCGCCCCGCCCCGCCCCGCCCCGCCCCGCCCCGCCCCGCCCCTCCCCTCGCTCCTGAGGCTTGCACGTCCGGGTGCTCCCGCACCCTCCACCCGAGGCGATCCATTTTCAAAGCCCCACTTTAGGTGTACGTGAGGCAGGAAGTGACGCACGAGGGGGGGTGGGAGAAGGCGGGACCGGACTATAAACTGCTGGTTGGGGCAGCTCTCCCATCGGAGGGCGTTCGCGTCGGCCAGCGGGCGTAAGGTGATCCGCAGACTTGAGGAGGCTCCAGAGTGAGTGGGGCGCCGCTGGTAGTATTCCGCTCATTCGCCTGTCCGCAGGCGAGTCCGGACGTTCTGCGGGCGGCCCCGCTCGGTGCTGTCCAGCATCCTCGGGGAGCCGCAGGGGACGGGTGGAACGGGCGGGAGGGATGGAGCGTCGCCCGCGTGCGGATGAGGAAGGGGTGGCGACGGCGTAAGGAGCAGGCTGCAGGTGCAGCGGCGTGAATCTACAGTGCAGAGTGGGGCTGTCCTTCCCCCTCTCTTCTGCTTCATGCCTGTTTCAGTCACCGAGTGGCGACTGGTTTTGAGGGCGAGATGAGGGGTTCCCAATTGTCACTCTGCGCCCCGCCATTCTGCTTCCGGCTCCTCGGGCCACCCTGGTCCCTTGTCCTCACTGGCTGGCCTTTAAAAGTTGCAGGTCCTCGTGGGACAGCCCTACGCCTTAGGCTTAGAAGCAAGGTGTGCGCCCTGAGCCGGGCAAGCCGTGCTGTCTCAGGGTTGGCCCGCTCTGCTGCGAGCACGTGGCTGCTCTAGGAAGTGTCCCAAGGGAATGGCTGTCGGGGTACGTGGGTGACCTTGAACTCGTAGCCCTTCGCTTCCTGGGTGCTCGCCCCGGGACCTGGTCTCAGTGCTGAAAAGGACAAAGCTGGCCTGGATTCGGTTACGAGTTTGTCCTGAGCATTTAGATGGGGTTCTGTAAGATGGGCATTTGAACTCTGCTGTAACCTAATCTTCCGTGCCGCACGCTGCCTGTTGGCCTAGTGTGTGGGTTCTCAGTTTTCCCAAAGCAGAAGCCGACTGGACACCGCAGGTTCAGCGAACGCATTGAGAACATTCGGATTGCTTGGCTCTCCTCACTGAGATGGGAGACTATGGGAATAAAATTTCTACTTTGTGAAAGCTATCTGGATTGGAATCGGCTTGCTTCTTTAGGAAATTAGCGTTATGGACAAAGGGCTGTGCTGTGCTGTATTGATAAACACCTTAAAGGCCCATTGTGCCACTGTTTCTGGTGGATACCTGTCTTAAGGTAGTAGCGGGGAGAGTGGGTAAGAAAATTGTATTTTGTTGACTTGGCTCTCTTCAGTTCACGTTTCCTCTCTGCACACTGTAGTGACCTTGGGTATATCAGAGAACTTGATTGCTACTTTTTCCTGTTTTTTAGGGGGAGGGGGTATTGAAGTGGGAAGTAATTGCCCTGTTACAACCCTGGTATCTTTATTCTCTGCTTAAATATGAATTTGGAATACTAGATGCTGATTCAGTTGTTTCTGAGCTGAGGAGTTCAACATTATTGACAAACATTTTCGGCAACTTACAGAAATTTTTTACTATGAAGATTTAGGTGCTCTAAAGTACCTGTTAGCTCTGCTGTTTTATTCCCCCCTTAGTTTTGAATTATAATAAACTCAATATGCTTCACAAGAAAATCTAGAATTTAAAAAAAAATTGTCATTGGTATAAAATATTTTTCAAAAGTTTATATATAGCATAGTTCCCTTTAACTTGTGTTTGATGGAATGTTCTTGTCAAGTAATGGTGTGCTTCTAGCCTGTGCTGAAGGTTGTTGGATAGGGAAGAACACCTTGGCTAACTCTGCCCTAAAGCGAGTCAATTGCTTCCGATAATGTTAATGTGTTTATCCATAATGGAGAAAGGCTCACAGCTAAATTTGAATCAGACAATGAAATCTAGTTAAAAATGATCCTCTGGGGCCTTTTGGAACTTCCGTGCATGGGCCTTCTGTGTATATTCCTTGATGAGCACTACAGAGAAACTACAATGACTTCAAGTGGTCCTGACCTTCCACTGGGCAATCTTTTTTTCAGAAAGCTGAATGGGAATAAAGAACCTGCTGGTTTTCTTTGATTTCCTCCACTGCCTTTTCAATTTAGACTCTTAAAGCTAGTAAAAACCTTGACCTTCTCTTTGCAAGTAACTCTGTATACATAATTACGAGTTCTGAGAGCCTCGCAGAAGTTCGTGTACTCTTCATTTTCGTCTGCTAATACATAGTTGTCTAGGGAAATAGTTTGCAAGATGAGTACCTATAACCAATTGCTTGCGGTCTAGGAGCCTTACCACGTAAACGTTAATATTTTTCTGCTTTTAAAAATATCCCTACTAGTCAAGCTTTGCCCATTGATTTCAGGATAAATCAGAATAGTGGCAGGGATAGAAAGAGATTCCAGGTATAAGGTTTTCATTATATTCTTTTTCTTACCATCTCCAAATGATGAAAAAAGAACCTCCTACATTAAGTATGCCCTATATTGTTAAGAAATAAAACCTCTTTATTACTATGTAATTCCATGTCAAATACTATAAAGGATAGGGAAATCAGAGGAGGCTTCACAGAAATGGCCCTTGAGCTGAGCCTGGAAAAAATGAGTAGGACTTCAAGAACAGAAGAAGAATGTTAGTAGGCAGAGGCAGGGGCGGATTCTCTCTCATTTTGGAGAAAGTAGAGGGTGGTGAAGTATTACGTAGTGAAGATCTCTAGAACAGAGCCTCAAGCAGGCAGAGGAACTTCACTTTACACGAGCTATAAGGACTTGAAACTGTGGCCTCTTTTCTAAATTGAAGTGAGCTTTTCAGAAATAACAAGTGTCTTGTTTTTATTTCAGGTAAAATGGAGTAGCAGCTTTGAGTGTGTTAAAAATAGGTGAAAGTATATTTTGGAAAGTATATATCTCCTTACTTCCCCCCCGCCGCGCCCCGCGCCCTGTGCCCCACGTTAGCTGCATATATCGTATACAGACTCCTGGTTTTGAGACACCCAAAAGGAGCTGAAGACCCCAAGATAATTACTATATGTGAAAAAATTAAGTAGAAATTAATGCCACATTTAAAGAAAGTAGGAATAAGATAATTTGAATTTTAAAGATTTTGTGAGTGTAGTCTAGCTATTACCTTTGCCTGCCTCCTGTCTTCAGTGCCATGACCCAGTGGAAGACATTTCAGATCCTCCTTCCACTTCATGTGCCAGGCACATGGGGCTCTGTTTTGCTTACCTTAATTTTCATTATTAATGTAAGAAACTAAATCGTTTTTCCAGTTATTAAGAACACCAAAGAAATACAAAGTGCTAATATGAATGAAAACAAGGTGATGGTTGGTTTCTTGTAGTCAGTTATCAGCATTGGTGGTGAAATGTTGAAATAAGACAAATAAGAATTATTTGGCTTTTAGGTGTGGCCTTTTAACAGAACTACTTGTTTATAGACAGAGCAGTTATTGCAACTAGTATGGAGTTTTCTGCCATGCTTTCAGAGCACATAAGAGTGATTTCAGTTGGAAGAAAATTCATTAAGGGGTTATTTTAAATAGAAAGCTTCACTATGTGTGAGGTAATTTTGAATCAAATTTCCTGTATATAAAACTCCAGGAATAATTTTTGTAGATATCATAGAGTTACTGTATTCTTCACAGACACAAGGTTAAACTAGAAATTACTTATGTCACAGTTTTTATCCTCTGACTTGATTATTTTTTATGTTACAGTTTTAGTTTTGTGTTGGGGATTGAAATAGAAATAACTATCATCTGTTTTCCCACTAAAAAATGTACTTAGGTTTTAATTATAAAATCATAATTACATGTTCTATTAATATCTACCTGTTTTTTGTAGATTTGTAATCACCCAATCTCTTTATCATTTATTTAAATCCTTTATTTAGATCATTTGTTTAAATATGTTGTCACTCTAGTGTTAAAGTTAATATAAAACTAGAAACCTTGAGAAATGGCTGATTCAGATGAGAATTAAACGTGGGTTGCTTTTTCCTCGAAAAGGGTGATTAAAATTGGTTCAGGGTGGGGCCTTCTAGTTCTGGCTCTAGTGATTGGGTCTGTGTAGTTCTGGTGCAGTGATAGTGATTAGCGTTTTGCACCAGATGGGGCAAGAGATTGTGCTTCCAAGAATATGAGGTATTTATTGGTTATTGGCTCTGGTCTTTAAAACTAATGAATTTAAAAGAACTTGTTAAGAGATTTTGATAGGAGACTTTTCTAATTTCAGTGTACGTAATGTCTTTTGTTTTGCAATCTATATATCTCACAACTTGCTTTGTGCCATGTGGGTGTTAAACGTGCTGTAAGTATACCTGTAGTATCTGAAAAGCTGTAAAATAGAGAGTATGACATAAATGTTTTAATTTCAAGGATCTAGATACACTCAAAGCAAATTAATTTAAAAATCCAGATTTCAGTTAATACCTATGCTTTAACTTAATATAGTACTCAGTGGTTACAGAGGTATATTTTGCTTTGAAAAACTTAAGATTAACTTCTTAATATTTCTGGGCATGAGAACACAATTTCTTCAACCCCATTAACACATTGAACTTCATTTTTAGATTATCATTTTTCAGCTTTGACCAAGTCACTTAACCTCTCAGCTAATTGAACTCTTCATCTAGAAAATAGCATACTCTGTGTTTTGTCTTTTGTATATTCTTTTTGCTTCAGAGGTCTATCAAATAATTTATAGGACCGTTCATTTAATCAGAAGAATCAGGTTTTTACTCTTTTTCTATTGGAGATCCTTTGTTACTGGTCTTTGTAGTATGATGAGCCTTGACTTAATTCTACTTGTGGCTTTTTTTGTTTGTTTGTTTCAAGTGCCTGTCTATTGTCTTTTGTATTTGTCCCTGTAACTAAATTCAGTTACTTAAACCTACTTACCATGGATGACAGTCTAAGTAGTTTTCCCTGCATTTTTAATTTTGAAAATTTCAACCCTATAGGAAGCATTGAAAAAGTAATTTGTCCTTTACCTGGATTCATTAATTAACAGTTTGCCACATTTGCTTTATTTCTTATATTTTATAAACTGAACTATTTGAAAGTTTTGGACATTATAAAACTTCATCTTTAAATTTTTAACCATTAATATCCCTGCTAGGAACAAGTTCTCCAAAACACAATACATCGCATTCCCTAAATCTAACATTAATACAATACTGTGTTCCAGTATATAATTTATATTCAAATTTCTTTTTTTAAAAGATTTTATTTATTTTTAAAGAGAGGGGAATGGAGAAAGAGATGGAAAGAAACATCAATGTGTGAGAGAAACATTGATTGGTTGCTTCTCACATGCCTCCAACTGGGGACCTGGCCTGCAACCCAGGCATGTACCCTGACTGGGAATGGAACCAGTGACCTTTTGGTTCACAGGCCGGCACTCAATCCACTGAGCACCACTCGCCAGGGCTAAAATTCCTTATTTCTTCCAATAATGTCCTTGAAGCTATCTCCACATCCAATCCACCTTAACTCAAGATCTAATCAGAGATTACACCAAATCTAGTTTCCATGTGTGTTGGTTATCACATTTGCCTCACACTAAATTTAGTTGTCATGTAAACTAAATATCCTGGTTAAGGGCCCTTTCTAGAAGGTTGATAATTTATTTAAAAGTAAATTTGATACATAATAATCTAGCATGGTAATGAAAAGCCTTCATTAATCTGAATCAATGGCATCTATCTCATTATTATAATTCTCTATTTTATTACTAGGCTCTTCTGTGTGGCAACTCAGAATGATGGATCAAGCCAGATCAGCACTTTCTAACTTGGTAAGATATTTTAAGTTTATATTTCTTTGTCACCAGTGTGTACGAATATGAAGTATACTATAATGCCTTTTACCAAGTAAGCATGAAATAATACCCAGAGCTATTATTAGGTATTTACTTGTATTTGAAATGGTGCTCTTGAGGCCTAACACATTCCGCAAAAGAAGAATACTCGTATAGTTAGTCTTGAGTAGCATTAGTTATGGGAAATCATGTCAGAAGTTTCAGGGTATTTGGGGCATGGTGGAAGGGGTCTGCCAAGTAGATCACATTAACTAAAGGAAGCCCAGACCAAAAGGTATACAAGTAGATACACATAACAGAAACCCTGAATGAACGGGAGGAAGGAGGCAAGTGTATGATCTCTCTCTCACCTGCCATTGACAGAACTGAGCACGTGGAAGAATAATGGTTTGAAAGGAGAACTTCTTTTTCCCTAAGAATGTATAGCAAAGTCACAGTAATGATCCAATAATAAGTATAGTGCCTGACCAAACTTTTTGTAAATGTTCCTACTCCCTTTCTTCTTTTTCATAATGCTTTTTCTTTCTCTTTTTTTAAAAATCTCAGTTTAGTGGAGAACCATTGTCATATACCCGGTTTAGTCTCGCACGGCAAGTAGATGGCGATAATAGTCGTGTGGAGATGAAACTAGCTGCAGACGAGGAAGAAAATGATGACAGCAGCATGAGGGGTAATCATGCCCATGTTGCAAAATCAAAAAGGTTTAATGGAAGTATCTGCTATGGAACTATTGCTGTGATCATCTTTTTCTTCATTGGTAAGAGTGGCCACTCAAAACTTAAATGTTTATTGTCACCAACTCTCAGAAGTTTGTTAATTCAGTTCAGCAAACACTTACATTGTAACTTTTTTTATGTGCCATTGTGTTAGGTAGTAGGAGTACAGTCATTAAGATTCTATACCTGTCTTTGAGTTTAGCCTGGTGGGAGAAAGAGACACAAGAATTATTTCAGTGTTATTTGCAAATGTTATACTAGAAATAATGCATAGGATATACGTAGCATAGAAGCTTGGCCTAAAGATTCAAGTAAGGCTTCTGGGAAGAAAAGGTTTATATACTTTGAAAAAGTAACTGTTCAAAATAAAATGATTGCCCTGACTGGTGTGACTCAGTGCATTGAGCACTGGCTTAACCAAAAGGTTGCTGGTTTGACCACCAGTCAGGGCACATGCCTGGATTTTGGGCCAGGTCCTCGGTTGAGGGTGTGTGAGAGGCAGCTAACTGATGTTTTTCTCCTTTTTCTCCCTTCCTTCCCTGTCTCTAAAAATTAAAATGACTAAAAATAAAGTTATGTATTGTATTAGACTAAATGGTTTGAAATATATAAAACAGATGCATTATTTACTTTCAGACTGCTTTCCATTTGACTAAAACCAATATTTTCAAGATTCAGCTGAAAATATTAACGACTCTTTTGGGAATAGGTTATAAATGAAATTCTGTGAATTCAGCTCTGAAACTTTTCATCCTTAGGACTTATGATTGGCTACTTGGGCTATTGTAAACGAGTAGAACCAAAAGCTGAATGTGAAGGAACAGAGTCTCCAGAGACAGAGGAAACAGAAGAGTACCTTCCCGAAACACCTTCCCGTTTATTTTGGTCCGACCTCAAAGCAATGTTATCAGAGAAACTGAATAACGTAGAGTTTGCCAACACAATCAAGTAAGCTTGGGCTACTTTATAAATTTAACTTCAGTATCTAAACCAAGGTGACAGTTTGGAGGAAAGAGTAGGGGAGACTTCCCATGTTTAGTTAGAGGGTAAGGAGTCAGTAAAGAATTCAAACTATGTTGATAAGGGAAAGTTAGAACTTTTATGGGGGCCCTCCTTTTTCTTAAAAAAATAAAATAAAATCGCAGGTCTTTAATCTTCCTGTCATATGTTTCTTTGTACCTTGTTGCTTACTGTCAGACTTTCTTTTGTTCTGATTTTCCTTTGTAACCCCTTTTAAGTCATGCTGAGCTCTGCTCCTTGCCAGGGGCATCGGTAGCCTTCTTTGTCCTCTAGATCGAGACTAACTTGACTGCCCAACTTGGTATGTCTCTATTATTCCTTGATTTCTCACTCATTAATCCATGCCCTAAGAAGTGTCCTTAAGGTTTCTATCTTTGGCTTTTTAAGATATTTCTTAGGCATGTATCTAACTCTGTAAAAACAAATGTATCCTTTACCTTTCACTAGTTTCCTGTAGTTTCAGTGGTACAATAATTCTTGTAGTGTTGAATTAGAAATATCGACGCTTTTATTCCATCTAACGAGTACTTCTGTGTATATTGTACGCCAGGTATTATGGATGAAGTGAGAGTATAGCCTACCCACCCCTCTCTCCCAAAAAAGATAAAATAACTAATCTGCCATGTATATTTACAAATAGCCACGGCAGATCAGAATAAGCAGATTTGCTTCCAGGGGATTCATAATGCTTCAAAGTAGGTGAAAATTGAAACTGTAATCTTAAGTTCACCAACAGTAATACTGTCTCATTTTTCTCACCAAAGAGCTTCTGGAAGCTGCTCATTTCCCCTAAAACTACCCTAAGCAGATATATTGTATTGGGATGGGGCTCTTGAAGGAGTTCTTTCCAGTTGATAAAATGGTTTTAACACATTTGAAATCCTAAATTTCTTCAGATATTGGGCACATTTTTTTTTCTTCGAATTTTATCTGGTCAATCCAGAAGTTTTGGGTCACCATTTATTTATCTTAACTCTAATGGATAGTATTGAGTTATGCTTTACTTGTTGGAAGCTAGACTTTTGGTTATGAATATGCTGTCGTGTGTACCGATATCAAATTATAATGGTGTATACCTGAAACCTATGTGATGTTACTAACCAGTGTTATCTCAATTTAAAAAAAAACCGGTTTGCCTGGTATTTGAGTTTAATGTTTATTTTAAATCAAACTTCAGTTGGTTTAACAGTGACATTTTTTCCTCCAGGAAGCTAAATGAAAATTCCTATGTCCCTCGTGAGGCTGGATCTCAAAAAGATGAAAGCCTTGCTTTTTATCTTGAAGGTCAATTCCGTAAATTTCAACTCAGCAAAGCCTGGCATGATGAACATTTTGTTAAGATTCAGGTCAAAGGCAGGTATGTTGAAAGATGGTAAACTTATCTTACAGAGTAGCTACTTCAGTTGTGATAAAAGTAGCAAAGATTAAATGTATTAAAGCCATTTACTTTTTTTCCAGCGGTGGTATTAGTTTTATTTTAACTTAAATCTTCTTAACAGTGCTCAAAACTCAGTGACCATAGTGGCTGTGAACAGTGGCTCAGGATACCTGGTGGAGAATCCTACGGGTTATGTGGCATATAGTAAGGAGGGGACAGTTTCTGTAAGTAAAATAACTGTGCATGACTTTTTTCTCTGTTTAATCGCTAAAAAACTCATTGTCATTCGTATGAGTTATAGTATAAACTGACTTGTAAAACACAACTGATCATGAGATATTCTTGTTCTTAACCCTCCTGTGCCATGGTTAAATAAAATCCCAAGTCTTCATCTTGGCCGGCAAGACCCTAAGTAGTCCTGTTGCTCTCTTCTCTCTCTTCTGACCTCTCTAACCTCCCTGCTGTTCCTCAAACACTCAAATTCAAGCACACTGTCACCTCAAAGCTACTATAAACTTGCCTTTCCCTTTGCCAGAACCAATCTTCTCTAAATATCTGCATGTCTTATTTCCTCACTTTGTGCAAGTCTCTTCTCTAATATTACCTTTTTAGGGAAGTCTTCCTAGATTATCTTATCAAAAATGTCCTTCTTTTAATCATTTCCTGTTACCGTGCTTTATTTTCCTTTCTCTTCCTCCCTCCCTTCCCCTCTAAAAATAAATGAAATCTTTAAAAAAGAGCTAAGGGTTGGTTTCGTTTACTACTATGTCCTAGGGCCTTGGACAATGCCTGGCACAAGATAGTATTTGCCGAATGAGCCCATTTATCAGATTCCCCGTAATGTGGGGATAGATATCAATACCATCTTGGTTGCATTCTAGTCTTAGCTTGATTCTTTAATGACTGATGTTATAAAACTTAAACAAGTGTGGCCAGACTACGACACAAATTAAAAAACAGTGACATAGAATAGCTGTATCTAGGTTTTTCGGGTTAAAATCACCTATATGGAGAGTTACAGCCAAGACGGAGGAGTACGTAGATACGCTTCTTTTCCTCTCACAACGTAAAGAAGGGTAACAACCAATTTAAAAACAAAAGTCAACCAGAACTGCCAGAAAATTGAACTGCATGGAAGTCCAACAACCAAATAGTTAAAGAAGAAACATTCATCCAGACAAGTAGGAGGGGTAGAGATGGGCATCTGGGGCGGCAAGGACGCGAGACAAGGTAGCGGCTGGCAGACTGGGGCAGGTGAGGTGGTGGCTGGCGGAATAAAAAAATATAAAAAGTTTTTATATATCATTATATAATTATATTTTATATGTTATATAATATGTAATTGTCATAATTATCATTTTAGTATAAAATAAAATAGTAAAATCTTTAAAAAGTAAAACTTAAAAAAAAAAGTAAGTGATGAAGAGTTAGCCAGCTTATCAGATGCAGAGTTCAAAACACCGGTAATCAGGATGCTCAGAGAAATGCTTGAGTACAGATGAAAAATAAAGGAAGAAGTGAAGGCTACACCGTGAAATAAAGAAAAATATTCAGGGAATCAACAGTGAAGAGAAAGAAACCAGGACTCAAAAGAATGATTTCGAACAGAAGGAAAAAATAAACATTCAACTGGAGCAGAATGAAGAAATAAAAACTGAGGAGAGGCTTAGGAACCTCTGGGGCAACTTTATACTTTCAACATCCAAATCATAAGGGTGCCAGAGGGAGAAGAGGAAGAGCAAGAATGGACATGCAAGTACAGGAAGCTCAGAGAGTCCCAAACAAGTTGGACCCAAAGAGGAACACACAAAGACACATTGTAAGATTAAAGTTAAGGAGAGAATCTTAAAAGCAGCAAGAGAAAAGCAGAGTGTTACCAAAAAGTTGTTCCCATCAGACTATTAGCTGATTTCTCCAAAGAAACCTTACAGGCAAGAAGGGGCTGGAAAGAAGTATTCAGAGTCATGAAAGGCAAGGACCTACATCCAAGATGACTTTATCCAGCAAAGGTGTAATTTAGAATGGAAGGGCAGATACAGTGCTTCTCAGATAAGGTCAAGTTAAAGGAGTTCATCATCACCAAGCCCTTATATGAAATGTTAAAGGGACTTAGCTAAGGAGAAAATCAAAACCATGAAGAGTAAAATGACAAACTTACAACTATCAACAACTGAACCTAAAAAACAAAAACAAAACTAAGCTAAGCAAACCACTAGAACAGGAACGGAATCACAGAAATGGAGATCAGAAGGGAGGGGAAGAGGAGAATGGGGGGAAAGGTATAGGGAATAAGCATAAAGAGTAGGTACAAAATAGATGGAGAGGTTAAGAATAGCATAGGAAATGGAGAAGGCAAAGAACTTGTATGTACGACCCATGGACATGAACTAAAGGTTTGGGGGGGAATGACAGGAAGGGGGTACAGGGAAGAGGAGGATAAAGGGGAGAAAAAAATGGGACAACTGTAATAGTGTAATCAGCAAAATATACTTGAAAAATAATAAAAAAAATCACATGTATATCAGGGGTCTATCTAGTGGATGCCTTCCAAACCAGGTGAAGTTTTGTGGTTGTTTGCCTTCTTGCTTACCTGTATCACTTTCTTCAGCTACCTACAAGCGAGGGGATTGGAGGTACATGGATTGTTCTGTTAAGAAACACTGAGGGTTTTAGTTCCCCTGCAAGCTTTCCATAGATAATTAGTTATTAATGTCGGTTTATAGCTGTACATCTGAGGTCTAATAGAGTTTAGGAACATTATAATGGCAGCTTATATAAACACCTAAAAGTTGATCTGTGCAAGTCACTTTATATAATAGACCACTTTTGGACAAATACATTGTCAGAACTTTCTGGGAAGACCTGTTCCTATGTATGTCCTCAGTTGTCTGGGGTACAAGTGCGGGAACATTATGTAATTGGTGCTGCCGTGGCTGGCCTATAATATTTATATTGGTGTATGTCTCTTATTCTTTCTCTACCCCCAAGATGTCTGAAGCAATGTAAAATAGATTAAATGTAAATTAATTAATGGAAATAGATCGAGGTTGATTAAAGATAGCATGTGATAATGAAAGACATGAATATAGGAGGCCAGAAATCTTGATCTGAAAAATCATTCTGTCTTAGACTCTATGGCTGTTCTGGTAACATAAATACTAATTACATCTAATGTCTTTATTTTAGGGTAAACTGGTCCATGCTAATTTTGGCACTAAACAAGACTTTGAGAGTTTAAGCATTCCTGTGAATGGATCTTTAGTGATTGTTAGAGCAGGGAAAATCACTTTTGCTGAAAAGGTGAGTATGAGTACTCTGAGTTATTAAATACATTGGTGTCATATAATTCTTCATTTAAATGGTATTGTTAAGTTTATTACATTCTGAAAGCCAAAAATCTTATACTCTCGTACCTGATAATATAATTTAATTTGATGAAAGAACTGAGTAAATTCCAATTATTCTAAGTTAATAGGATACAAAACTATGGTGTATCCACTTGGATTATTTTGTAGCCATTGTCTTTCAGTGAAAATGAACTCATCAAAAATACTTTAGTAAAAGCAATTTAAATTGTGTCTATGGAACCGAGTTTATGTATACATAGAATTCAGTTATAACTAGATTTTATAAAAATGAAAATAAAGTCACACCTACACAAGGGACCAGAGTGGAACACATTAAAAACAGTAGTTAGCTTGGATGGGTTTTAATTTCTCTTTTAAACTCTTAGTGAGTTTTAAGGCATATATATTTTTTAACCATAAGCTACTTGAAACATCTGGAAGTATAGGTATAATCCTCTTGTCAACCCTTTGTTCTTTAGAATAAAGTTGAGTATGTATTTTTATAATTTTATATGATTAGATCTCATATTCTGAGCTTTATGTGTTTTTCTTTAGGTTGCAAATGCTGAAAGTTTTAATGCAATTGGTGTGTTGATCTACATGGACTATACTAAATTTCCTGTTGTTAATGCAGAACTTCCACTCTTTGGACATGTGAGTTCTTATTTTTTTGTAAGGAAGTTTTTGGGTTCTCCAGATTATTGCTAGCCCTTACTTACATTAATAGAAATATTGATAGAATTCTTCCTTTCTTAAATACCTTTTTTTCTGGGAGAGTTTTAGCAGTAAGCAAGAAGATGGATTTCATGACTTTGAAACCTAGCTATTGCTTACTGATAAAAATACTTCATCAGTATAGGAGTCCCCCCTTATATGTGGTTTTGCTTTCAGGTACCCAGTGTCAATTGCCGTCTGAAAATATTACATGGAAAATTCCAGAAATAATTCATAAATTGTAAATTGTGTGCTTTTTTGAGTAACATGAAATCTTGAGTCCTCCTACTCTATCCAGCCTGGAACTGGATCATCCCTTTGTCCAGTGTATCAACATTGTACACACTACCTGCCCATTAGTCACGAAGTAGCTGTTGTAGTTATCAGATTGACTGTCATGGTATCATAGTGCTTGTGTCAAGAAAACCTCATTTTACTTCATAATAGTCCCAAAGAAGAAGTGATATTGGCAGTTCGGATATGCCAAAGAGCAAGCATAAAGTATGTGTATGTATGTGTGTATGTATGTATATATGGGAACAAACATAGTATATGGGGGGTTTAGTACTATCTGCAGTTCCAGGCATCCAGTGGGGGTCTTAGAGCATATTCCTCACAAATACGGGAAGGCTACTTAGTGTCTTAAATTGAGGATTTGGTATATGTCATAAAATCAAGAGTCATGTATCGTAGAGCCACTCAGACTTTCAGACTTTAAGGTGCTAAACAAAGCTTGGGCTATATATAGCCTTATACTGAATCTGAACTTACCAGGAACCTTCTTGAATAAGTGTCTGATAGAGCTGATTACCCTTTTGTTTCACTAGGCTCATCTGGGAACAGGTGACCCTTATACACCCGGATTCCCTTCTTTCAATCACACTCAGTTTCCACCATCTCAGTCATCAGGATTGCCCAAGATACCTGTCCAAACAATTTCCAGAGCTGGTGCAGAGAAACTGTTTGAGTAAGTTCTTATTTAAAACTGTCTTGCAGGGTGAGGTTTTATGGTTAGGGAGGAATAATCTAAGTTGATTTGATAAAATCTCAAAACAATTGGCTATAGTTTTCCAAATTTGGAAAGTTTGGGGGATGGATAGCTATTAACTTGGCATAGATAAAAATGAAATTTTTCCTCCATGAAGAGATATTAGTAATAGACATTGGATTTATAAACTCAAGGAGTCCTCGTTCAATTCATGCAGTGAATTCCTTGTGAGATATTCCTGGCATAGCCTCTGCTTGAATACTTCCGTGGCGGAGCACTTTGTTGCCGATGGCAACCCATTGAGTTATTGGAGATTCGTTAGAATTCATGTTGAGCTGAATTTTATTCCCTCTGATACCCATTAGTTCTGGATTTTCTTTTTAGCCATAGAACAACTTAAGGTTTCTTGTCTGTAGTTTTAAGATTTAATAACCTCAGCTCTTACTTCAGTTTCAGATGTTTTGTAGCCATGATTAGTCCTTGATATCCCTAGTGTATCAGTGCCCCTCTTTAAAAAGAGAACTCAGTCTGATTAGAGTGCAAGTCATTAATTTTTATCTAGATCTGGACATATTTCTTACCTAGTATTGGCATAGGATGTAGATCTAGCATCAGACAGTCACGGGAACATTTATTTGGTGTGTGACATAGAGCAGGTTCTTTGACTTAATTGGATAGCTAAAATATATTCTGCCTGATGGGTAGAATAACTAAAAACTATAAAGTAAAGTAACTGTAAAAGTAAAGTGAAAGTAATAACTATATTTAATGGGGTGATTGGTCTCAAATGAAGAGCGTCTACATGTAAGGACTTTGTTAAATACTATGTGACTGTTAACAGTGCTGTCTAAGAAGCATTTGTGATAGGCGATTGTTATTGACTTATAGCAAACTTAGAATCAGGTAGTTCTTCCCACCACCTAATCTGTGAAGCCAGCCCTCTATCTTACCCTTGCATAGTGAAGGGTAATAATGTTTTGACATACAGTTGGTCTTGGAACACTGCAGGGGTTGGGGCACCAACCTTGCCCCCTGCACAGTTAAAAATCTACGTACAGCTGACTCCCCAAAAACTTTACTACTAATGGTACTGTTGATTAGAAGGCTTATGAATAACAAAAACAGCTCATTTACACAAACTTTGTTATATGCATTATATACACACACACACACACACACACACACACATATATATATAATATACTATACTATATTCTTACAGTAAAGCTAGAAAAAAGTGTTACTAAAATCATAAGGGCCCTGGCTGGTATGGCGCAACAGACTGAGTGCTGGCCTGTGAACCAAAAGATCACTCATTCGATTCCCAGTCAGGGCACATACCTGGGTTGCAGGCCAGGTCCCTGGTTGGGGGCATGTGAGAGACAACTGATGGCTATTTCTCTCACATACTGATGTTTCTTTCCCTTCCTTTCTCCCTCCATTGCTCTCTCTCTCTAAAAATAGATAAAATCTTTTAAAAAATAAATAAAATGAAATCAGAAGGAAGCAGTTGAAAACTGTTGTGCAAGGGTCAGCTGTATTTATGTAGGTAAACCTCTAACTTCAGAGGAATTAGGAAGGGGAAAATATTTAACTATGAGAAGCATGAGAATATTCTTTTATAACTGACATAAGCTTGTATACATACCACCTTTGTTAGTGGAGAGAGCTAGTAAATATGGGAATATGTTAATGGACTTTTATATAAGAATTTCATTCTGAGTCCACCTTGGTATCTACTTTAAACATAAACTATAACCATGTCTTTGTCAGAAAGGCACACATCGCAAGAGAATGGTAAGGAGATTTTTTTTTTTAAACATTGGTTAAACAAGGAAGTAACTTAGGGTTTTCAAATGACTGTCTACAGATCAGAAGACACAGTCACTAGGGAGTAAGTTTACTATGTTCTCTTGTAAGTCTTCTTAACCTAGGACTTTATTGGTGGATGGTAAGGAGGACTGAATTTGTAAACCTGGGGAAAGTAACAATAACTCAGAATGATGATTTCTGTTTTTTACTTCTAGAAATATGGATGGAGACTGTCCTTCTTCTTGGAAAACAGATGCTTCATGTAAACTGGTAACAGAACAGAGTAGGAATGTGAAACTCACTGTGAACAATGTACTGAAAGAGATAAGAATTTTAAATGTCTTTGGTGTTATTAAAGGCTTTGAAGAACCAGGTGAAGACCCTTGTTTATATTTATTTTTTATTTCTTGGTCTCTCTAGCTATCTCTGTCTCTCTCTATTGAACTACTTATGTATTTCTGTTTTCCCCCCTCTTCTGAAGCACGCGGCCAGAGGAGGGCATGCCGGGAGGCTGGCTTGGCTTTGTGAAACGCTATCTTGTCTGTCCTAATGGGGATCGTTTCAGTGTCAGTATCAGTGGGAGCTAATAAGTCCCTAGGAAAGTAACTTGTCAAAAACTGACCATTGTGACTAGAGAATAGCTTTAATTAATTAATTAATTAATTAATTAATGAGTAGACCAGCAGTAAGCAAATTTCTACCTGAGAGGGCAGATAACAAACAGTTTGCAGGCAATACAGTCTCTGTTGCAGGTATTTAACTCTGGCATTGTAACATGAAAACAGCCATAGACAGTACATAATGAGTGGGTGTGCGGGCCTGTAGTTTCCCAATCCCGGGAATAGGTCATTTTTCTGTTTAAATGCAATCAAATAGTCACGTTAATATGGAAAGCCCTTGGACTTCAGTTGCTTATTAAACAGTACGTGAGCACAAATACAGTTTATGAATAAACTCACTTGGTAATGTAGAAAAAGAGTAGCAATACTAATTAAGGAAAAAGATTAGTATTGTCATGTGAGTTTTTAATCCTCAGAGTCCTAGGGCGCTCTTTTCCTTAACGCGTATACTCCATTTTTACCCTTCTATGAATGTGCTTTTTCTAGACTGAGAAAACAGTTTAAGAGCTCATCGTGTAATTTTTTTTTTTTTTAAGACCGCTATGTTGTGGTTGGGGCACAGAGGGACGCCTGGGGCCCTGGAGCTGTGAAGTCCAGTGTGGGGACAGCTCTCCTGTTGGAACTCGCCCAGATGTTTTCTGATATGGTCTTAAAAGGTAGAGTGCAAATTTTGAGGACTTGAATAACTATGTGCTACATATAGTTTTAAATGTTATGATATGCTTTGCTCGCTTTTGCCTTTGTCACTCCTTCTAGACCCTGAGTTCTTAAGTGCAAAGCAGATTGCCTTTTGTAATATTTGCCTTTGATTTTTTTGAATTAATTAATTATTTTGAAAAATTTTATTTATTTTTAGAGATGGGAAGGGAGGGAGAAAGAAAGGGAGAGAAACATTGATGTGAGAGAGATGCATCGACCAGCTGCCTCTCACATGCCCCCAGCCATGGCCCACAACTCAGGCACGTGCCCTGACTGGGGAGAGCTGGTGACCCTTTGGTTCACAGGCTGGTGCTCCTTTGACTTTTTTAACAAAGGATAGTTGACATACAATATTACATTAGTTTCAGATGTGCGACTTAGTGATTTGACATTTTACATACCTTATGGAGTGATTACCATGATAAGTCTAGTAACTCTTTGTTACCATACAAAGTTACTGCGATATTACTGACTATATTCTTGTATCCCTGCCTTTGACTTTGAAACTGCTTTCCATGCAGTGTCTTAATTATACTGGGAATCATCAGTTTCTTTTGAGACATTGGAAAGTACTGTATTTGGTCCTAATTCCTAGTTTAACATACCTAGAATGATATGGCAAAACTAACATGGCTTCTGAGGAATCTACCTGAAAGCAAGCCGTGGCATACCTCTGTACTGAAGTCTATAGTTACGTTACAAAATTATAATGTATAAATAGGTTTACTTTCAAGCCATTCTCCTATGGTGTTGGCCACTCCTGCACCTGCCCACACACACATGCAAATCTTCATCACTTTCTTGATTCTTTGGATCATGGGGTAGGTTGCAGTGCTTAACTTTTACACAAAAGTACAATAATGCAGTAAAGGGGAAAGGATGGGGGGCAGTGGTATGTATAGTCCCAAAGGAACTGTCACTAATGTAATTTCTCTGAAAACTCTTTGCTGTAACTTAAATCTGTGAATTTTTATTCTATTTCATAACAGTTGTTTTTAAAGTAATCCAGTGTTTTAAGTGACTTACTTTTAAGCAAATTGTTCTCAAAGAAGATGCACTGTGATTTCAAGTATCTCGTAGTCCAGAAGATAAGGTCCCCAAAGAACAGAGTTGAAAAAGTGACTTTCAGTAAGCCACCCCCTGCTATGTACTTGAAATCTCATTTGCAAATGATTGCCTACCCTTTTTAATTTTCAAAAATTTATTTGTATTGCTTATAGTAGACATACAATATTACTAATTTCAGTCGGCGACCTAGTGATTTAACATTTATTTTCTTACAATGTGATCATGGAGATCACTTTTGAAATTTTTTTTTTTCCACCTGGGGCCTCAAAAGGAAAAATTTTTGAGTCTGCCATCTTAAATTAGAAGTTTTGGATTTTATCTGAAGTCAGTTGCCTGCCTGTAACTTTTCCAAAGATGAAACTAGCATTTTGTTGTCTCTTAGGTGGGTTTAAGCCCAGCAGAAGCATTGTCTTTGCCAGCTGGAGTGCTGGAGACTTCGGAGCTGTCGGTGCTACTGAATGGCTAGAGGTATTAACTATACCCAGAATGGCACCCAAACTTTTATTGCTTTGGTTTGTCCTCCATAAACCATGCTTTGATAGATTTTATTAGATATAATTTTTGCCTTTGTATATTTTAGTTTCAATAGAATCCAAACTTAAAAAAGAAACCACTGATAGTGGTAACTGTGTGATGATTAAATTAATACATGTTAGTGCATTAGTATTTTTCCTTTTTTTCTAGGGATACCTTTCCTCCTTGCATTTAAAGGCTTTCACTTACATTAATCTGGATAAAGCGGTCCTTGGTAAGTATGCTTTTCATTAACTATCTATGAATTAAATAAACCCTTTCTAAAGCAGCACTTGTTGCTTTTTACAATTTACATTGGGCATGTCCAGATCAAAAGACTAAGTTATAAAATGGACGTAGGTTGCCTTGTGTAGAGGGGTGGTTCTCACTGTGGTTCCCTGATGAGTAACATCAGGATCACCTGGGAATTTGTTAGAAATGAAAAAATTTCAGGCCCTATCCCAGTCCTTTTGACTCAGAAACCGGAGTATAGGTTTAGCAAACTATGATTTAAGAAGCATTCCAGGTGGTTCTGATGCACTCAAGTTTGAGAACCACTAATCTTGACTATATCTGAGACCAGAAGGAACTAAACAATACCATATAGAATGGTACTTCTAGAGACTAGTCCGCATATTGCTAGATTGTGGTATCATAGATGGAAATACCGATTAAAGATTTTATTTATTTATTTTTAGAGAGAAGGGAAGGGAGGAGAAAAGAGAGGGAAAGAAACATCTGTTGATTCCCTCTTGTACATGCCCCAGTTGGGTCTGAACCCCCCAACCCACGCCCGTGCCCTGACAGGGAAACTAACCAGCGACCTTACGCTTTGAGGGACATGCCTAACCAACTGAGCCGCACTGGTCAGGGCTAAAGTTTGAATGTTAAAAATGTAGGTATAGCCAAGGGATGAACTGAGAATAGGGAAATGTCTCCATTGGGAAGAAAAAGGAGGGAGTTGCAGTAAAACAAAATCTTATTAGATTTGTTATCATTGCCATTTTACCTGTGCAGCAGAATGTATTGAATGTAGCAAGCTTAGTATAACTAGCAGAGATGGCTGCCTTAACATGGATGAACCAAAGAGGTACACCCCCCTCCCAAAAAAACCCATTGACATTAAAGTATGCAAACTGAAGTAAGAGCTTTAGTTGAGTCAAATTAAGGTTAGCAGTCACTAAAGAATTTTGACTCCTAAATCACGTTTTTATCTGCCTCATTAAGAGGATAGTTGTTGTATATGCCTCTGATTTAGGTTATTGTCCTCCTGTCTTCCGGTTTGCCAAGTACTTCTAGTCGTATAAGTAGTGGTGTGAAAATTGCTTAACTAGAGAAGGAGCAATGTTAAAATAATCTCTTTGCAGGTGCCGGCAACTTCAAGGTTTCTGCCAGCCCATTGTTGTATTCACTTATTGAGAAAACGATGCAAGATGTAAGTGTATACCTAATTATGAAAATGTTTAACTTAACTTTTTGCCTAATTCACATTAAGGTGAAAAATGTTGATATTTAAACTGTTATAAGTAACCAGTAATAGGAATTGAGAAGAAATTTTATAGCAGCATGATTTCAGTCATGCTCTTGGCTTATTTGTCGCCAGCCTGTTGAACCATGTGAGGTGAGGGAGGTGATATATGAAGGGGCCGGATCTAAGACAATATGTAGTCTATTTAGGAATATAGAGCAGAATTCCATGCGGCCTAAACTGTACTGTACGTGCTTACAGGAGATTGTTGAAAGATTCAGGGTATAAGGAAGGTGTTAAATGGACTTAAACTATCCCTAAGACTTAAATAAGAAGGCCAGATGAAATATCTATTGGATAAAGACAGACGTGCCACTGACCATAGTTTTGAATGAGTGAGGAACCAGATTTGCCTTATAGGATTAGAGGCTATGTATATTGGGGTGATTAAAGTTGAAAGGGAACAAGGGTCAGGGAACTTGACCTTGATTCCATGGGAAACTAGTGATTATTATAGGGTCTCTAATAAGGCAGTAATGTGTTTGCAGGTTGGGCTGGCAATAGTATAAAAATGTGCTAGAAGGAAGAATTCAGAAGTGAGACAGGCACATCCTGAGGGCTAGGAGAGGGTTTTTAAAATTGTGGTTAAACCACCTTTAAAAAGTTATGTAGGCAGCCATTTTTATGTTATTTCAACTAAAAGAACTAACAGCACGAGCTTAGTAGGAATAACTTGAGAAATTTGAGATTGTTTTGTCTTGAAACATTTTTTTCAAGGAGATAAAATTTTAATATTTTATAAATGTTTATAAAGAACATTTTAGAAAGGTTCATTTTAATGATAAATTAATTTCTTATTTTACAGGTGAAACATCCAGTTACTGGGCTCTCTCTATATCGGGATAGCAACTGGATCAAAAAAGTGTAAGTTGAGAAAGGTGAATGAACAGCTAATAGAAAAACAGAATCATGCAGTAACACCTACTGTGTTGGGTAGAGATCTAAACATAACCTTGCAGTGAGCTTACCTAAACATAGAGGGATTCATTTTAAGACCTTATTTGGGGCTGGGGTAAAGTTGAATGGTAGCACCGTCTGGTCTTTAGAAAACTTTCTAAACACATTCTTGCTTTCCTTGCAGCGAGAAACTTTCTTTTGATAACGCTGCTTTCCCTTTCCTTGCATATTCTGGAATCCCAGCAGTATCTTTCTGTTTTTGTGAGGTAAGTCTAAAAGACTCTAAAGCGTTATCTTGGATCTTTCATCAGTTTTGAGACCAAGTGTCCTAGACTGCTTAAAATGTTTTAAGAAGTTATACACATGCAGCTATTGCCTGCTACCTTATGATCAGTTTAACATAGAATTGTTATCTCAGTTAGCTTAATTAGCATTTGATTTTATTTGTTAAAACCGCAATTAAGTAAGATCACTTAATAACAAAGCTGCCTTTAGAAAGTGGAGGCAGAACATTTTCATCAAAGTTCTACTGGACAATACTGTTCTTGCTACCTCTTGAAATATGGTTCCAGATATTTGTTCTTAAACAGAGTTCATGGGTAAGAAAAACAAAAAACAAACAGATGTAAGATCGATATGAGGCAGAACTTTGAACTGACCAAGTTGCAGGAAAATAAGATTGGCTTTGTATAAGAGTCAATTAGAAGGCACTGAAAGACAGGCAGAAAAAACAGAAAGATGAAGAGCAGCGCTGCAGCAGGCTCTTTCAAGGGTGGAGAGATCTTTGAGGTAGTAGAAGGGGTCACGGTGGAAGCTGTTGACTTTGGCATCAAATTGTAATTGAAACCAAGGTTTAGCTGCCTGCCATAATGAAAGCCAAACTTGTGAGAGGCACTGGTAAGGAAAGCAAAGAGGTTTATTCAGGTGTCAACAAACCTGAGAAGATGGCAGGCTCATGCCTTTGATACCGTCTTAGCATCTCAGGTGTCTTGGCCAGTTTATATAGGGGAACCGTGGGAAGAGGGGAACTAAGGAATCTCTGGCGATGTGCAGTTTCTCAGCTTAGCTCTTGGGTGGTTTCAGTGTTACCGCCTGGAAGCGCCATGATGTAGTTTAATTGCTCTATCCACAGTTTCACTGCTAATATCTGGGAACGGGATGTGCAGGCAGTGTTTCTGCTGGTTCTGACATGAGTCACTGACACTTGCCCAATTTCTTGTGGTCAGGGGCATTCCCTGGTTAAGCAGGAGCTGCGACTGCTGATGTCTGTAAAATACTTACAAGGAAAATTTTAATATGTGGATCATCTGTGAATTTGTTAGTACAGCCTATTCTAAAATTGACCACCTCTTTAGCATATTATATTTATTTCAATTGCTGTTACAAAGTTGCTGATCCAGGAGGGGCCAGATCCTTACTAGACTTCTGAGCCTGGGATGAGACAGGGAAAGGTCTGAAATGTGGGAGTGATGAAAGGCACGGATTTGGAGAATTCCATAGGTAGAATTCCCTTGATCTGTGAGAGCAGCAGTATGAATTGTACTGACATAGCCAGTCATGATGTCTGTTTAGTACATTAGGAAGAGCTATGCATAATTACTTCTGGTTAAGGAAATTTATGGGTGATTCCTGTTGACCTTCAGAAGTCATGTTTTGTAATAAATTTCTTAATGACTTCCCAGGTGGTCAAAACCTAGCAGTGTTGGCTTCGAGGTAGAGATAATATGGAAACGTACAGTCTGAAAGTAAAGAACTGAGGTCAGACCAAAGGATTGTCACCATAGACAGTAGTAGGGACTAGAACTGAAGAAATAGTCGCTGAAGTTGTCTAATGAAGGTAGAAGTTCTTGTGAGCATCATTCTTGTTAGAAAGGTAAAATTGTATGAATGGATCAAGTGCTGCGTGATTAAGAAAAGGGCAAATTTTAGTTTAAGAGTAGCAGTAACTTTTTATATTAAAAGTACATTTCATCTATGCTCTCTTTTTTCCTCATTAAAATGGGCCAGAGAGAAGATAACAAGGGTACAACTTGAAGGAATTTGGCTAGAAATCTGTTCTGAGTGTCTCATGTAATGGGACTTATAGAACCTAGATAGAACTTATAGGGATTCTATAGAACCTAGAAGAAAGGATCATTCTTGGAGTAGGTTAGGTTCAGAGAAAGTAGCAAAAATGGTATCTTCTTAAAGTAGTGGATAAGGGATAAAATTGGGGTTAAGGAATATATTAGAAGCAAGGAATAACTTCAGTTATTACCTTTATGGTATAACTGGAATGTGAGGCACCTACTCTTTTAACCCACTTCAGTACATAAACCTCACTTTGTTTTCCAGGACTCAGATTATCCTTACTTAGGTACTACCCTGGATACCTATGAGGAACTCTATCGGAGGGTCCCTGAGCTGAACAAAATGGCACGTGGTGCAGCGGAAGTGGCTGGTCAGCTCATGATGAAACTTACCCATGATGTTGAATTGAACCTGAATTATGACATGTATAATGAGGAAATACTTGCATTTGTCAGAGATATGAACCAGTTCAGAACAGACATAAAGGTGAGCACTAATTAAAAACAGATTTATATTGCTGCAGTATTAAAGCAGTTTGACAAAGTATGTTTAGTTGTTCCTGAGGAGGGACATGATTGGTAACCAAAATACATTTTAAAGTGAACTGAGGTATAATTTTGCTTAGACTCCACAACTCATTTGAAAGGGAAGTTGGGAGGCTATAGGTTATAGATCTAGGATAGGCCATAGCAAGTATTTCAGAATCTAGAATGATGTTAAGTTCTCTATTGTTCATGTATTCTAAGCAACCTGTAAAGAGCTAGGACCCAGAGTCTGTAAAGATCTCAACCATGACTTTGAATCTATGAGTTTGGATATATATGCCTTTTGGAGATGACATGGATGGAGAGAGAACACAGCCAATAGTTAGTCATAGTCTTATTTAGTGTTCATTCTGTGTAGTTTTGAAACGTTTGATAAAATTAAAAGTGGGCCCTGGATGTTGTGGCTCAGTGGATTAAGCGTCGGCCTGTGACCCCAAGAGTAGCCAGTTTGTTTCCCAGTCAGGGCACATGCTTGGGCTGTGAGCCAGGTCCCCAGTTGGCCATACAAGAGGCAACCGATTGGTCTATCTCTTGCCACATCCATGTTTCTCTCCCTTTCTCCCCTCCCTTCTCTCTAAAAATAAATAAAATCTAAATAAATAAAAAAAAAATTAAAAGTGGTTTCCAACTGATAACCAAATCTTAATTATGATGGCTTTCTTGAAACAAATTGTAACTGACCAGAAAATGGGGCTTAACCAGATGGAAATAACTAGATCTGAAGTTTGTTGAACTGAAATGCTTCCAAGTGTTCATAGGGAAATTGAACTGGAAACTATATACTACACAGGATTATACACTTCGACTAATAGGTTATGTTAAATTATTGATTTAATTTTTAAAGATTTTACTTATGTTTCGAGAGAGGAGAAAGAGGAGAGAGAGAGAGAGAGAGAGAGAGAGAGAGAGAGAGAGAGAGAGAGAAGGAGAGAAACATCAATTGATTGCCTCTTGTGACCTGGCCCGCAACCCAGGCCTGTGCCCTGACCAGGAACCAAACTGGTGACCTTCTGGTTCACAGTCCCGCACTCGGTCCACGGAGCCACACCAGCCAGGGCAATTACGTTAAATTTGTTTGATGAGGATGGTTTTCTCATGAGACTAAGAGTGATTCTTATACTATATTCTGGGCTGAAATAGGAGCGAAGTGCTAATAACAGAGCTTGGGAAACCCCAGTACAAGGTGCTTTCGTCTCACTTTCTCTCGATCTTGCACTTGTCTGGGAGTCACCCCCTTTTATCAGAATCTCAGTTGCCTCGCCTAAATTAGAAAGATATCTAGAATCCTTAGAGATATAACACCTAATAGTTAATGGAATGTCTTTTGCTTCAGGAGATGGGTCTGAATCTACAGTGGCTATATTCTGCTCGTGGAGATTTTTTTCGTGCTACTTCTAGACTAACAACAGATTATAAGAATGCAGAGAGAACAAACAGATTTGTCATGAGAGAAATCAATGACCGCATCATGAGAGTAAGTAAATTTTTAGAAAAGAAGGAAATAAAATATGTTAATTTTTAGTGTGTAAATCTTACATTTCTAAAAAATACAGTAATAACTTGAGGAGCCTAGAATCCTTTGCTTCTTTAGAATTCACGGATTTTAAATCTTACGAGAACTGAAAACCAACATCAAAATTGGAAATACCAGAGTCATTTGACCTAGTAGTGATTTTCATATGCTTTAAAAACATTTTAAAGAAGAGATCATTAATCATTTTTAGCTGTCATTTTCTCTATTTCTGTTGGCCTAATCCAGCCCATAACTGCTTTTATCCTTGTCTGCTTGAAAGAAGATTCTATGATAGCAGAACCTCATAAACCTTTCATATTTGTGCTCCAACCAAAAAAAAAAAAGGTTGCTCTTACAAAGGAATTGGTAAACATTTGGCTTTATACTTTTAACTTTAGAAGATTAGTAGCCTGGTTCTCAGCATTAAATTCAGGGAAATTTTAATGTTTGAAGTGGGAGAATGGTGGTGGTTTTACTCCACTGGGTCCTTTCCTCACAACAAAAGTCATAACACTGTAAGCTCTCTTGTCTGTTTTGTTTTTTAGGTGGAATATCACTTCCTCTCACCCTATGTATCTCCAAGAGATTCTCCTTTCCGACATATCTTCTGGGGCTCTGGCTCTCACACTCTGTCGGCTTTACTAGAACACCTGAAGCTGCGTCGAAAAAATAACAATGCTTTTAATGAAACACTGTTGAGAAACCAGTTGGCTTTAGCAACTTGGACAATTCAGGGAGCTGCAAATGCCCTCTCTGGTGACGTTTGGGACATTGACAATGAGTTTTAAATGTTAATACCTAGAACGGTACTTGTGACTTGTGCTGGCTGTGCTAAATTTTCAGTAGGGCTACAAAACCTAATATTGTTAAAATTCTACCTAATTTATCTGGTACTACTAGATGTCTTTATGCAGCAACTTTTAATACAGGGTAGGTACCTGCACTTCAAGTTAAAGTATTTTAAAATGTTCATGATGGAACATTTTCTCTAGAATTTTAAGTGCTTTGTAATGGCAACTGCTTCTTCTTTCATATATATGTGTGTGTGTGTATATATATGTGTGTGTATATATATGTGTATATATATATATATATATATATATATATATATATATATATATATAGCGCCAGACCCAGTTACATGAACTATTGCTCTAAACCCTAATGACATGAACTGGTATCTTTTGAGTTGGAGGAGAAAGGTGATATCTGCTGAAGGTTAAAAATGGTAGCTTTGTATGATCCTCCATCTTCATTTGATGCTAGATAGGAGATAATAGGTTGTAAGACCTTATTCTCCACATGAGATAAATGCCTTCTTTAAGGATTTAGCTAGTTTCTACATCCCTGAATGAAACAGTTAACTTTCAGAAGAGATGGGACTTGTTTTCTTGCCAACAAAGTCTGAAATAGAGGTTCTTTAGCTAGAAAATGAAGTTCAGCTGTTTATCACAGAAATAATGCCTTAATGTGTAACCTCAAGATCACTATGAAAAAAGGAGAACAGAAGCCAAAGACCTAGTATATATTCTTTTCCCCTCTCCGCTCTCCCATAAACCTTTTAGTTTTTCGTTGTTTTTTTCCAAGATATTTTGAAAGAGAATCAGTTTTAGGTGTTTAATATCAAACTCAGTTTGTCAGACTTTAAAGGATACACTGCCAAATTTTGGTCCAAGTGTTAGTTTTTTGGAAAAGCTTTCTATCATTTTGGCTCTGAGATATTTATTGTTTATTTATCAGTGACAGAGTTCACTATAAATGGTGTTTTTTTTATAGAAGATAATTATCGGAAGCAGTGCCTTCCATAATTATGACAGTTATACTGTCGTTTTGTTTTTTTTTTTAAATAAAAGCAGCATCTGCTAATAAAACCCAACAGATACTGGAAGTTTTGCATTTATAATGGTCAATGCTTGAGGGTTTTAGAAAACAGCCTCAAATAAAATTTTTAAAGCTATTAGAAAAGAATTAAATTTAATTAGGGTTGCTAATCAAGTTAGACTCCTATTTAGACTCCTATTAAGTAGATAAAAATGATAGTTTTCCTAAATGCAGTGAATTGTGACCAAGTTATGAATTAATGTCACTCAAAGGCTGTGGTAGTACTCATGCAAAATTTAACAGCTCAGTTTATCCAAGGTGTAACTTTAATTTTGCAAAATTTCCAGTACCTTTGTCACATACCTAACTCACATTATCGGGAGCAGTGTCTTCCATAATGTATAAAGAACAAGGTAGTTTTTGCCTACCACAGTGTCTATATCGGAGACAGTGATCTCCATATGTTACACTAAGGGTGTACATAATTATCGGGAACAGTGTTTCCCATAATTTTCTTCATGCAATGACATCTTCTAAGCTTGAAGATCGTTAGTATCTAACATGTATTTCTAGCTCCCTATAATTCTTGATCTTTTCATTTTAGTTGCAGAAACATTTTGTGGTCATTAAACATTTGGTGGGTAAATTCAACCACGGTCAAGTAAAATTACTTCCTTCAAGATCTTTTTTTTTTATTCAAAGGTTGTTTTTAAACCTGATGTGGTGTTTCGTTGTATTTGTGGTTTCTCTGGGTCTTCTGCTTCGCGGGATAGTAGCATACATTTATAATGTTTGCTATTGACAAGTGAATATAATTTTATTCCCTATGTGCATGTTATCTCCTATAGCCTTAGTTCATACAAGATTGAATCCAGAACTGACCTTTTAGCTTAAATTAGAGGAAACTAGTATAGGAGGTCTGGGGGGAGGGAGAGTGAGGGGTGCGGGTAGCTGAAATTTGCAAAAGGATCTTTGATCATGTCTACCTACCTACCTATTAGTGTATGGTGACCGTAAGTTAAGTGAAGATATGGATAAATATGTTTGAGTCTACATGAGACAAGACTTGGTTTTCTACTCAGCTTAATAATTAGCTGTTTGTTATAGGGCAGTTCAGTAACAAACAGCTGATTATCAGGTTAAGTAGAAAACAGTCTTTTCTCATGTAGCCTCAAACTTATTTGTCCATAGGGTCTCTTAAGGCTCTTTAAACTTAGTGTCACTTACCCAAGTTAAAACAGATCTAGATTATTACAGCCCCACTGAATTGTTTTACTCTGCAGTCTGTTAAGTCCTCACTGTTTTATCTTGAACAATATTTAGTGTAGCTAAGTAAAAAGGTCAGAGCTGGGATTCCTGGTTTGAGTATCATGCTTTATCTTACTTTAATAAAAGCTCAGTGACTTCAAGGCATAATACGAATAATGGGCATATGTTTTACAGCAGTAAATCTCTTCAAAAAACTCTTCTATGGTTAAGATTGAGTTCTTTCCAATCAAACAGGCCAGAAAGTAGGAAGAGCCTTTATATTCCTGGATGAAATGTATGTATTACTGTGTATATCTGCTGGTTTTCATTTTTTTCTGGATATAGAAATCATGTGCATTTTGAAGGTAAAGGATAAGGTGAGTGAGGTCTGTCATGATTCCCTATTCTAGAACTTGCATGACCTTTACTGTGTTTCCTCTTTGAATGTTCTTGAAATTTTTAATTGGCTAAAGATGACCTATTAATTAAACTTCTCAACCTACTGCTCAGCTATATCTTTGTAAACAAGTGATATGCCCTTGTAATTGTATACAAGCTGGTTATGTGCAACAACTTGGAGATTTCTTGTCTGAAGTAATAAAATGCTTGAACACTGAGCTGTCATTTTTTAAAATAGATTTTCCTTTTTAGAGCAGTTTTAGGCTTACAGCAAAATGGAGCAGAAAGTACAGAGAATTCCCATACACTCCCTGACTGCACACCCCACCCTCAGCTTACCCCACTCTCAACATCTCTCACCAGAGTAGTACATTGTTACAATTGGTGAACCTACAATGACACATCCTTATTGCGCAAAAACTATAGTTTACATTAAGATTCATTCTGGCGTTGTATATTCAATGGGTTTTGACAAATGTATAATGATGGGCATCCACCATTACAGTGCAGTACAGAATAGTTTCACTGTCCTGAAAATCCCCTGTGCTGTGCCTGTTTGTCCTCCTTCCCTCTTAACTCCTGGTCAGACACTGATCTTTTCATTGTCATGTAGTTGGAATTATGCAGTATGTAGGCATTTCAGATGGGCTTCTTTCACAGTAACATGTATGAGTATTCAAGGTCCCTCCATGTATTTTCATGGCTCGCTAGCTAATCTTTTTAGTGCTGAATAATATTCTGTCATCTGGATGTGACGTAGTTTATTAATCCATTCACCTATTGAATGATGTCTTTGCTTCCAAAATTTGGCAATTATGAATAAAACAACTATGAACATAACATATACAGGTTTTTTTCCTAATCCTCACCTGGGGATTTTACAGGTTGCTATGTAGTCATAAATTTTCGGTTCATGGGGGTAGATACCAAGGAATGCAGTCGCAGTTGCTGGATCATAATGAAGGGGGACCCCCCAAAAAAACCAACCCAGAATTATCTTCCAGAGGGTGGGTCCTTTGTAAGACAGGCTTACCCCCACTAGGCTCTTTTTTTTTAAAAGTATATTTTATTGATTATGCTGTTAAAGTTGTCCCATTTTTTTCTCCCCTTTATTCCCATCCACCCTGTATACCCCCTCCCGCCAGTACCCCCGCCACCCCGCCCCCTCCCAGTTCATGCTCATGGGTCATGCATATAAGTTCTTTGACTTCTCCATTTCCTATACTATTCTTAACCTCCCCCTGCCTATCTTGTGCCTACCACTTTTGCTTCTTGTTCTGTGTACCTTTTTCCCCATTTTCCCCCTTCCCTTCTCTGCTGATAACCCTCCATGTGATCTCCATTTCTGTGATTCTGTTCCTGTAGTAGTTGTTTGCTTAGTTTTTGTTTTTTAGTTTCAGATGATAGTTGTGAGTTTGTTGTCATTTTACTGTTCATAGTTTTAGTCTTAGATAAGTTCCTTTAACATTTCATATAATAATGACTTGGTGATGATGAATTCCTTTAACTTTACTTTATCTGGGAAGCACTTTATCTGCCCTTCCATTCTAAATAATAGCTTTGCTGGGTACAGTAATCTTGAATGTAGGCCCTAGCCTTTCATGACTCTGAATACTTTCCAACCCCTTCTTGCCTGTAAGGTTTCTTTTGAGAAATCAGCTGATAGTCTTATGGGAACTCCTTTGTAGGTAATGGTCTCCTTTTCTCTTGCTGCTTTTAAGATTCTCTCCTTATCTTTAATCTTGGGTAAAGTAATTATGAGGTGCCTTGGTCTGTGCTTCCTTGGGTCCAACTCCTGGGACTCTGAGCTTCCTGGACTTCCTGGAAGTCTATTTCCTTCACTAGGTTGGGGAAGTTCTCCATTATTTTTTCAACTAAGTTTTCGATTTCTTGCTCTTCCTCTTCTCCTTCTGGCACCCCTATGATTCAGATGTTAGAACGTTTGAAGTTGTCCCAGAGGTTGCTAGGCTTTTTCCCCTTTTTTTTTTAAATTCTTTTTTCTTCATTCTGTTCTGACTGAATGTTTATTTCTTCCTTCTGCTCCAAATCATGGATTTGAGTCCCAGTTTCCTTTCCTTCACTGTTAGTTCCCTGTATGTTTTTCTTTATTTCACTTTGTATAGCCTTCTCTTTTTCTGCATTTTGTGACCATACTCAACCAATTCAGTGAGCATCCTGATTACCAGTGTTTTGAACTGTGTATCTGATAGGTTGCCTCTTTCTTCGTTGCTTAGTTTTTAGGAGTTTTGATCTGTTCTTTCATTTGAGCCATGTTTCTTTGTCTCAGCGCGCCTGTTATGTTGTAAGGGGTGGAGCCTTAGGTGTTCATCAGGGCTTGGCAGCCCAGGTTGCCGTGTTGTGACACTATATGTGGAGGAGGGGTCCAAGGGGGAACAGTGCCAACTGCTTGCTCTCCGCTGGCTTTCAGTCACTTTCTCTGCTACCCACAAGCAAATTGGGCCCTTCCTTTCTGGGTGGGTGGGTTTGTGTACGTTCTAAGACCCCATGGGACTCTCCAACAAACACTCCTGTGAGACTGGGAGTTTCTCCTGCTGCTGCAACCCCCATAAGTTTTTA